CTTCATGTGTTTGAACCACTGTTGAGAGATTTTTTTTCTTTTTTTTTTCGGTTATTTTCCTTATTCTTTCTTTTTTCTTTTCTTGGGTTGTTTTTTTTTTGTTGGGGGGAAGCGTCCTTTGGTGTAGCAGAGTTCTATTGTGTTCATGTTGCGCAGGTCTTTCCTAGAGTGTTTGTTGTAAATCTTGTACCTACCGTCTCGGTCGAATAAAGACAGAGCGATGCAATGAAAGGCAGTGGGCTTCATTTGATATTCAAAGCTTTCTGGAAGTGGATAAAACCGTTTCTTTGTTTACTCCTTATCTATTTCGAGGCCCGCAGTTTCTTTTAATACAACTGTTATTGTTTTATACTGCAACTTCTGTTGTTAACTTTTTGTTCTGTACTCTTGCTGTTTCACGGCCATACATTGTCTGTATCCATTGATACTCAATGAAAGTTGATAAAAATTTAACAGAGCTTCGCTAAAAGGACAGGTTGACACATTGCTTAGATAGCGAACCCAAACAAATAGATGGAATTACAGAGGTCTGTTGTGTTTTAAAGAACAACGGCAATTCTTTGACGAGTGGAGAAAAAAAAAAGGAAAGAGTTTCTGAACAAAGGGCCGGGTCACTCTTCTACCTGTTAAGGGCACCCGATCGCTTCTCTCGTGAGGCCTGTTCATTCTTTGCTGTTAAATATCGACCCTGGTCGCTTTATTAACCCTGGGTCTTTATTAACCCTGTTTCTCTCTCCCCGCATTGCCCCGGGGCAGCGAATTATAGAAGACCTGCCTTCCCTACTCGCTCTCCTCCCTACTCCTTTTGGTTTTCCGCTACATTAACCTGACGCTTCCTCTCCCCTCCAAGTCTTCCCCCTCCCCTCCCTATAACTTTACCCCCCCCCCTGCCCTCACCTTACCCCAGTCCTCTGCAACGCTTCTAATTCTAATCTCAATGCTTGCTACCTGTCCGCATTGCATCTGCTATCTGTTCGCTCCTGCTAAACAGGCTAGGCCTATAACGGGAAAAAGGTCCTAGCAGGTAGTCCTAACAGCACGGGTCGCTGGCGAACGGGCAGACGGCCACCAGTTCCAGAAATCCGTTATTATGAACTTAATCGACAACTTCGTAAGAGCCCACAGATGGGAATCTGTCTTCGTGATTTCACTAGCACTATGGTCTCTTTCCTAGAATCGTGCTCCCATAAATATTGAAGCGTTACAGAGAGTTTTTATTAAAGCTGTTTGCGAGACATGGGCCCATATAGGGAGCGGTATTCATTATTGAGATTCTTTTTGTTACCGCACGTGAACGCGTGTGCTGTGGAGGGCTTGGGGCCTTAATGATTGATGAAGTCACAAAGTCTCCTAGTTACCCCCGACCGGGAGAGAGAGAGAGAGAGAGAGAGAGAGAGAGAGAGAGAGAGAGAAGGACAGACAGACAGACAGACAGACAGACAGACAGACAGACAGACAGACAGACAGAGACAGCACTGACAAAGAGGGACAGAGAGAGAGAGAGAGAGAGAGAGAGAGAGAGAGAGAGAGAGAGAGAGACAGAGACAGAGACAGAGACAGAGAGAGAGATACATAGAGAGATAGAGAGATAGAGAGAAAAGAACACTTTTTCGAGAGAGGGGGGCAGAAAAAGAGAGAGAAAGT